AGGTCTGCCCTCTCGTCTGAAATTAAGTCCTGGACGAGGGGAGCCTTGTGAACCACAGACCTGGCATTTAGCGACAACAGCCTGAGACCAGGGTCCCGATTACTCACGCCATCTGGCCTCGAAGTGGAACTCATAGGGCCAGAAGGAGGGATCTCTGTGATGTAGCGAACCCTCCTTCCCCGGTAATGGGGAAGTGCTCAGATTTCTGAATTTGAGCTCATGGATTATGCTTGTGCCTTCTAACTGCCTCCCTACCACAACTATATAGAAGCACCATCACTACATTTTAAAATAAAACATTATTTAGTAATTACTACATCAAGAGACCAAGGCATCTTATTTAAAAATGCTGGTTAAAAGTTCTGATAAATGTAACTGAAAGGTTGACAGAAATTCTGTCCTTTTAAGTTTTACGTAAGAACCAACTTTCAAGAAACACAGAGAAGGCAGTACATGCCAGCAACTTAATCCAAAGTGATAAATAGAACCTATGTACAGCAAGTACATGGTATTGACCAAAAGAGGGAGTACTAGAAGTGATTGCAAAAAATGTGTGCGTATTTCAGTTTTGCAACTGCAGTAGTCTAAATTGGCCTTAAGTTAGAATTAGATTTCTCCTTACATTCCAGTGACACTACTTGGAGATATTCATATGTATAAAACCTATTTTTATTCTCTTCAGTTAAATCTAAGTTGGGACCAAGGAAAGAGCCTATCGTCTTGCTAATGCTTAATTCAAAAGCAGAAGACAGGGTGGTGTGTCTACTGTCCACGCCACCATGTCTTTATTGAGATTGCATGTGCACTTTAAATTGAGCAAGCTATCTCTGAGATTTAAAAAAGGAGGCTCAAATTCACATTTGAAATAATATAAGAGGCTCTGTGGAATAAAGTTATGATCTAAGAGCAAGTTGTGATTGAGCCTTAGCTAAAGAACTGTCAGTGGGATAACTAACATAATTAGATTTCAGTTCTAATACAAAGAACTATTAACAGATGTCACGGTATTGTTTTGCTAAGTATTACAAAGCATATAGATAACCATGTACATGCATGACACCTCAAGGGCGCATACTGGAAATATTTTAGAAACATATCCCCCAATTCCATCAGAAAAAAAGAACAAAGTTAATATGTTCAAGTTATGTATCTATTTATCAATCTGGAAAATTCTCCTTTTTGAAATAAATGAGGCCCTGTATTATATTTTTAGGAGCCTATTGAGCACTTATTTTTCCCTTANGTGTCTTAGCCACTGAGCCACATCATACATACATATATACACACATACATATATACATACATACATGCTTCCTATTATATCCTATATTTAAATAGCTACTTTGATAGTTATGTGACTATGGAGGAATAACCAGCTAAAAGAGAAGTGAGAGTAAAAAGGGGCACCGGCCTGGAGTAACACCCCAGGAGGAAACATCATAAATCAGCCTCCTGAAGCCTTACCTACTGGTTCCCAAAGGAATGCAGTCTGGCAAGATTTTTTTAATACAGGTGATCAACAATAAAAACAAAGTTGCTTTGGCCTGTTCCCAAAATTGCTCTGATTCCTTGTGACAAATGGTAACAGGGAAATATTTAGCAGATGAACTTTTGCCAGCGTGTACATATGATCACAATGAAAACTTTGCCATTTAGTGGTCATTTGCTACCAAGAAAAAGCTTACAGGCAATTATTAGAATAGGACATTTCATTTTATTTAATTTGGGGAGATATATTGCGGTTAAAACTAGGACATACTAGTAAAAACAAAATCACAAACCTTCATGGTATTTTTCGTGATCAGATTAGCTTTTAATAAGTTAGCCGGTTATTAAAAGTGGCCACTGAAAAACTATTTCTATGTTTCCCTCTTTACAAAATGGAACAAATTAAAGAACTGAACTGGTTCAGAAGAAGTGGCTTATGTAAACGTTTCTCATTTCAAGCATCCTACCTGTTCCAGCTGTTTCTTTGATCTGCTGCACCAAATGCATTATCACACTCAGGTTGGGGTCCTCAGCCAAGTTCAAAGCAATCAGGATACTTGGATCAGGTTTGCCCTGCATACCGCCCCACTTTTCCAGTTGAGTCTGGATGCCTCTAACCAGCCCTTGCTGATCATTCGGGACAGCTAGAATCAAGACAGCCAGAGGTTTATCAAGAACAGCATTTGATCCTAGACAACTCTCATGTAGCTTGTCCACAGAATTACAATTCAGCCTCAGAAATTGTATCTACAAGTAGTCCTTGACTTATGACTACAATTGGGCCCAAAATCTCTGTTGCTAAGCAAAACATTTCTTAAGTAAATATTGTTCCAGTTTACAGCTTTTCTGGCTCCAGTTGTTAAGTGAATCACTGCAGTTGTTAAGCGCCGAGGTGGCACAGGGGTTAGAGTGCTGTACTGCAGGCTACTTCAGCTGACTGCCAGCTGCAGTTCAGCAGTTCAAATCTCACCAGCTCAAGGTTGACTCAGCCTTCCATCC